AAAAAAAAAAAACTCCTGAAAAGCAGAGACACAAAAATAAAAACAAAACAACCAAAAAAAAAATTACAGCATGAAAAACATTTTATATAAAATACTTGTATATTAAATATAGTATAGTATGCCACCTTTATTCTAAGATAGTTGGAAGAACACAAATATACTCAAAATATTAAAATAAAAGCAAAAAGTTAAATAATGAAAGTTGAGCCATAATTTTTTTAAACGTTTAAACATGGGGTAGGGAAAGAATGTGGTAGAGAGTATGGTAATGGCTGCTAAGCTTTCTTTGAAGATACATTATCTTGTAGATATAACTTCTGGAATTATGTAAATATTTAAATAATTATAAACTAGAATTATTTTTTTACAAAACGTAATCCCTAAAAATAGACAACAAAATAAAACCTAAAAATGTCAAAATACCATATTGCAATGATAGTTTTATATTTCATCATAAAAGTTTCTTACATATTTGCTAACAGCTCCAGATGTGCATTTGAAGTTGGGCTCCAAACAAACATACACAGTTCTTGGTTTCCCACCCCCCCACATCTAACAAACACAAGGAAACAAATCATAAATGAAATGAATCCATGCAGGGGAATATTACTCACTATCCTTTCTTTTTCATTTCCCTAGGAAAATAAAAGAAAGTCTGGAGTGCTTTCCAGTTAAATTGAATAACTTGATCCACACACTTGCACAAATGTCAGCCATCAGTCCTGCCCAATCTACTTCACAGACTTCTTCCAAGGAATCCTGTATTCAAAGAGCAACAATTTTAGGGTTCAGCAAGAAATCCAGTAATGTAAGTCCAAAGCCTGTCATTTTGACTTCAATATCATTTGACTTTAACTCAGACTTTCCTTCACAAGTGATGTATTGCTGTATTTTGTTTGCTGATATTTTGTAGAGAATATTTGCATCTATGTTCAGCAGAGATGGATGCTATACACTCAGAGTGTGGTTTGTTTTTTTGGTTTTTTGGTTTTTTGGCTTTTTGGTTTTTTGGCTTTTTGGTTTTTTGGGGGGTTTTTTACTATGGAAAGGAAAAATCAGTTACCATTTGAGAAGTACTGTTAAGAGGATGTTCTAAGGAAAAAAATCATAACAGCCTGAGCTGTTAGTAGAGAACCATCAAAGAGAACAATTCCTGCCCTGTGGTTGAATATAAATCAAGAGCTAATTAAAGTGTCCACAGGAAAAGAACAGCAGAAATTAAGCAGTCTGTTCCCAGCACATAAGATTGTGATACCTTTATATATTGTGTTTATTTGTAACTGTGCCTGTACAAATTGCATCCCTTAGCTTTTGTGATGTTTTGCAGAAAGGTACTTGCTTTGTTTGCTTGAAATCAGATTTTAGAACATATTGCAGGTTGATATTGCTGTCTCTTGATTTTTGTCTATTCATTTTCTGCAGCTGTATGTCATCCAGGTGACACAGAGTAACAAAGCAATAAGTCTGACAGAAAAATCGTTTGACCAGTTTTCAAAACTTCATAGTCAACTCCAGAAGCAGTTTGCATCATTGACTCTCCCAGAGTAAGGCACTGTCCTTTCACATTGTTTTGCCTCAGTATTTGTCCTTGAACAAAAGGAAAAGTTATGGTTATGGGATTTTCTATTTGTGAGCAACTCAGTATTATGACTTTAATGCCATTGAATCTATCCCAGCAGAGATTTGGTATTGCTCTCAGAGTAAAGAATCTTTGGTCTCATAAAACAGAACAGGGTTTGCAATTTTCTTTTTACTTCCAGCCGTTGATTTTGTAGACAGAAAAATTCAGAATGTATTTCATTTTTTATCAATTACTGGGAAAATTGTTCTGCTTGTCTGTTTTTAAGTTTAGTCTTCTTAGTTTTTTCCTATAAAAATAAAATTGAAATTGAAAATGCAGAAGTAAATTGGAAATATCTACTCTTTCAACAAATAACCTCAATAAAAGCTGTTATATTTTTTAAGTTTCTGTACCAGAAAACTTAGTATATCAATTAGTATATTAATAACTCAGTTATTGTCATTAGCTTTTTAATTACTATTAGCCTTGAATTATCTAAATTTCATTTGTTGTTATGCTCATTTTGAAGCAACCTTGAAAATCTTCATTTCCATTCATGCTATAATGGAAAAAATATTAAATACAAGCAAACTACAAATATCATGAAAATAACTGCCTTTCAAATAAACCTAAATTTCATAACTTAGAACCAGTCAAACTTAGATCATAGATTTCAGAGTATAAAAGTTGTATCTTCACTTTAAAAGGTGAACTTCCCAGAAATTATGACATTGGCACTTAGGTAAATCAAATGTTATTTTGCCTCCAATGGGATTTTTGTTAAGTAAGTGATCCTTTAATGATATAAATGCCCATACTTTACCTGACATAGTTCTGTACGTGTAGATGTTTACTTGGCTTTCTGTATTTAGTCACCTTCCAAGGCATAAACATAGGTAAAATTGGTAATGGATGAAGAGATATTGTGCAGTATTGAAAACTGAGTAGTTCACATTTATGAACAAACAAACTATACTTGCAGATGTCACAGAGATTTTAAAATACAGATGCTTTAAGCATCAGGAAGTCAAGAAATTAGAGTGAGAGCATGTTCCAAGGACTGACAGGGAAGTAGTCATTCTGGAAACTTTTAGAAGTAACATCAGGTTTAAGAATTACAAAAAAAAAAAAAAAATTCGATATAATCACTGAGAAAAAAGAAATGTGGGCAAAAAATTCAAAGTTTGGCTGCAAATATTGAATTCAACATCAGTGGCTGACATTGTACCTTATTATTCATTCATTTAAAATTATAAGTCAATTTTTGTTAAATGGCTGTCCTTTTCGAGTTTGAAAATTTCTCTGTTCTACAATTTACCTCTCCAACACATATCAGTGTAACTTGCAAAATTTTAAAAGTGCTAATAGTCTCTCTTCATATGCCTCTTCTCAATTTTCAGCTTTAGTTGGGATTCTACTTTGCTCACAGTATGTCTGGCAGTGATACCTAATTGATTTTCAAACTATTTAAGCCATCTGTGGAGGGGAGAAACATTTAGTTTTATGTGCCCTGAGGGGTATCTGTATGCTGCCACTCCCCAGGGGGCCAAGGCTTACTGTGATGCATATAAATGAAGGATGGGAGCAAGATTTCCTCTGACTCCTAAATTTACTGAGAGAAGTCCTATGAGAGTTGTGTAAATCCAATCTGGAAAGTACATTCAGAAAGTCAGACTTAGGAAGAATAAAATTCTAATTAGTCATAGCATTTAACAGTGGTCTTCAAATTGGACGATTTGTACTTCTGGGTACCTTCCAAGAGTACACAGGCATGGAAATATTTCTTAAAATGAACGGTCTTCTTTAAAATCAACCTGCTTGAGGAGGGACTTATTTTCCCCCTTCTACTGTCACCATGGCTCTTGGCCCGACCATCCAGAATCTGATTTTGATCACGGCCCCAAGGTGTAAAACCTTCTGAGGACGAAAGTACAAATCAAAGCATTGGTGTTGGTATTTTAAAAATGAATCATTCTAATAACCAGGTATCAAATCCATCTGCAGGTCAGGAGTTTTGTATTCTCTGTTCTGAAGAAAACTGAGGGGGGACACAATGGTACTGTCAGATAAAAGCTCATGAAAAATAATTTTCAATAACTGATTGCTGTGTTATACTGGCATAGAACTTGAAAAGATTTCAAACAATGGAATGACATTATTGTAGCAAAATTCCTCAATTCTCATGGGCTTACTTATACATGAGGGGGTTTTTTTTGTACATGTATCTAAAAACATCAGCAAAGGAATAGAATTGATGTTGAACTCTGTTTTATTCTATCAATAAGGAAAATTTATGCACAGGCATATGAATTAATATTTAACAGCCAGCCTAATCAATCTATCTATAAAATTCATTTCCAAAAAATTCACTTTATGTACATATGTATGTGTGTATATATATGTGTGTGTGTGCATATGTATACTCATATATATATACACATAAGGGTACTTCAAAATGTTCATGGAAAAATAGAATTAAAAGTGTACATATGTATGTGTGTATATATATGTGTGTGTGTGCATATGTATACTCATATATATATATATATACACATAAGGGTACTTCAAAATGTTCATGGAAAAATAGAATTAAAAGATAATACAAATCCTTCCATGAACTTTTTGAAGATCCCTCCCTCATATATATATCTATAGACCCTATGTTATATTTTTGATTGTGCATTGGTACTAATTTTTATGACAACTAAATCCGGATTAAAAAATTTAAATACTTTAAGCCTTAGAGCTTATATTTTATTTAAAAATGAAGTGCTAATTATTTAAATACACAAACATATAATTTTAGACTTTTCTGACATTTCTAACAGGAAGCAGTGAGTGGGGTGGCAGAAAATGGTCCCATATTTCTGTGTGCTTGCTATCTGTCCTTCACTATCCCTCATGTCTGTTTCCCCTGAAAGAATGGTCACAGTCTTGGCCTCTGCCAAAGAAACAAAAGCATGGATGAGGCAGCAGTGAAACTGCAGTGAGAGGAAGCTTCTAGGTAACTCCTAAAAAGATGGATTTAAACAGCAAAATGTGTTGCCAAATGCTGCCTATTAACAGGTCATTGCTCAATAACTGGTCTTAATCAAGTCCAACTCATCAAGATGAATCACCAGATAGTGCAGAGAAATTCTGCAAATCAGACTGTTGGGGAAATGTTACTTTGTTCCAAAAAAGTAAGACCAGATGGAAGCATATGTCACTTGGTAAAATGTTTAATTTATTTAGTGTAACAATATCTCTAGAACACCCAGAAAAAACAACACAATCTGAACTTTTTGAAGAATTATGAATCATTAACTACAGAAAGTATTTACGCCCCCATATGTATTTAAAAGACAAAATATATAGTCTGCCATAAATACAGTAAGAAGGGACATATAAATTAATTTAATATGTTAAATTAAATTAGTATTACTATTAATGACAGTTAAAATGGCACAAGTGATCACAGTCGTGTTAGTCATGTATACTATGGCTTTTTCAAATGTTTTCATTGGCCCTTCTATCTGATGCAGCTGTAACTTTGTGAATAATGCTAAAATGCAGAGACTGATTTTCAAACTAATGAGTATACACTTTTTTCTTTTAAAACAGGTTTCCTCACTTTCATTGGCCCTTCTATCTGATGCAGCTGTAACTTTGTGAATAATGCTAAAATGCAGAGACCGATTTTCAAACTAATGAGTATACACTTTTTTCTTTTAAAACAGGTTTCCTCACTGGTGGCACTTACCTTTTACAAATTCAGATCACAAAAGATTCAGAGATCTAAATCATTACATGGAACAGATATTAAATGGATCATATGACATTGCAAACGTATGTGAATTTATTTATATAGTTTTACATACAATATCAACTATTTCATGTATTATTACTGGAAGTATTTTAAAATATTTTGTGGTAACATTCTTTAGATTATACATTAGAGGAATATGCATGCCTAATAGGTATAAAATCTATGAATCGGGAACTGTGGAGCAGAGAAAAAGGTGTAGGAACTTGGCCTCAAATAACTTAAATGAAGTAATATGTAATAAATGAATTATCAGTGCTAGAAAGTGCGCTAGAGTTTTAGAGGAGTAAGAATTACTTTTGACCGTGATAAGGTTCCAGGGAGAAGAGTGCAGCTGAGCTGGGCCTTTAATGCTGGGTAGGACTTAATAGAGTTGTCATGGAAAAGGGTTTCAAATAGAATCAAACGGTATAAGAAAGTTCATGAGTGAGAAAAAACAAGGAATTGTATTAGATTCCTGCTGCTGCTGTAACAAATTATTGCAAACTTGGTGGCTTAAAACAACACAAATCTATCTTCTTTCAGTTCTGAAACTCAGAAGTCTAAAAATGGATCTCCCAGGACTAAAATCAAGGTTGGGCGGGGGGCTGGTTCTTTCTGGAAACTTCAACTTCCAGAGGCTGCCTACATTCCCTTAGCTAGTGGCTCCCTTCCAGCAACACAATGGCATACTCTGACCTCTGCTTCTGTCATCACATCTCCTTCTCTGGATCTAACTCTGACCCTCCTGCCTCCCTCTTAGGAGAACCCTTATGATTACATTAGGGCCACCAGGATTATCTCAGCCTCTCAAAATTCTTAATTTTATTTTAGCTGCAAATAAAATTAAATTGCCATGTGAGGTAACATATTCACAGATTCCAGGGATTAGAACATGAACTTTTGGGGGAAACCACTATTCTGCATTATCATAGAGATATAAGAAAAAGTGCAAGGACACAATTCTGTTGGATCTCAGCAGTCTTGTGAGTTTGGAAACCAAGTCAAGTTGCTAATGAACTAAAGTTAAAACATAGTGAGTTGTATTTAGTCAAGGTTCTCCAGAGAAACAGAACTAACAAGGTATGTCTGTGTGTGCATGTTTGTATTAAAGAGAGAGAGAGAGAGAGAAAGACAGAAATAGATCTCTTTAAGAACTGACTCGTGTGGAGGTGAGTCCAAAATCTGCAGGGTAGACCAGCAGGCGGAGACCCAAAGAAGATCTGCAATCTGAGTCCAAAGGCATTCTGCTGGCAGAATTCCTTCTTGCTCAAAGAAGGTCAGTCTTTGTTCTACTCAGGGCCTTCAACTGATTAGATGAGGTTCACCCATGTTATGGAGGGTAATCTGCTTTACTCAAAGTTCTTTTTATTTTTTAGACTTTTAAATTGTAAAATACAAACACGCATCCAGAAAATCCACAGAAGAAAATTGGACAGTTCAAGGCTTAATTATAAAGAGAACATCCATGTAACCAGGCAGTAGTTTCAAAACATGTCTGAAAATTCTTTGCTACCTCTCATTAAAAGAAGGTTACATCCCCTCCTCTAGAACCCAAGAGGGCTTTTGTCTTTTTTTATCAAATAGAATATGGTGACACTTCATGGCTTCAAAGTTAGTTTAGAAAAGGTCATGTACCTTCTAACAGTTTATCTTGGGATACTTACTGTGGGAGCCTTCGGTTGTCATCTGTCAAGTTAAGCTACCCTGAGTCTGTCAGGTAGAGAAACAACACAGAGATCAAATAGAAGGACAATGTCAACTGTTCCAGTCCCCAGCTAGGGTTCCAGCCTCAATTGCCAAGTGACTACAGCCTCATAGAGACCTCAAGCAGAACACCCTAGCTGAGATCTGTCCAACACCAGAACTAAGAGATAATAACAACATGACTGGTTTTAAGCTGACAATGCAGTGATTTTCATTGTTGTATAGTTTCCTATAATATAAATACATTACAATTCATTTGTAGATTTTTCTCTATGATGCACAGAAACTCATAATTTTAATATACTAGAATGTATCGATATTTTCCTATACAGTCAAAAGAACATACTCTACCTCAATGCCATGAATGTCTGAATCTACTGAGATGATCAATGATCAATGACTTTTCTCCCTAATTCAGTTAATGTGGTGAATTACATTAATGAGTATTCTAGTTTTAAACCTAATTTCTAATTTTAAACTTGCATTACTAGAATAAACTCCTCGTGTTTGCAATGTATTACCCTTTTTGTTTATTGCTGAATTTGATATAATATTTTCTTTAGTATTTGTTTTAACCTCTGTTCATGAGAGAGATTGACCTACAGTTTTTCTTTCTTACAATGTTCTTGCTTGCCAGTTTTCAGAATCAAGAATATGCTGGCCTCATAGTATTATTCAGAAAGAATTTTTGCTTTTTTCTATTTTCTGAAAGAATTTGTAGAAAATTAATTTTATTTCTTCAAATAATTTGTGAAGCCATCTAAATCTGGAGGTTTGATTTTTTTTTTTTTTAAGTTACGGGACAATTCACATTTTCTATTTCTTCTTGAGCCTATTTAGTTTATTGTTTTCTAGGAATTTGTACTAATTTATTGGCATCATTATTCACAGTATCCTCCCATGATCTTTAACATCTGTAGGATCTGAAATGATGTCCTCTTTTCCATTCTTGACATGTCATTTGTGATTTCTCACTTTTTTCATCAGTAATTTTCAGTATTTGATTTGATCAGTATTGTCAGAGAATAATGAATTTTACTAATCTTTGCAAAGAGTGAAATGTGGGTTTTATTGACTTCTCTTATTCTCTTTAATACATTTTTTCTTTTTGTTATTTTCCTCCTCCTTCCTTTGGTTATAATTTGCTCTTCTATTTATAACTTCTTTAAATGGTGGTGTATTTTCCTCTAATTTGCTCATGAGGTCTCTGCCACAAGACTGGCCTGATGAGGCTTCAGGGAAGATGGCCCTCAGTGTTTATAGTGTGCCTTTCATGGAATACATCTTTATTCTGGCAGACAGCCTAACGCCTAAGTGTCCAACCCATTACCAGATGTCCCTCTCACAAGAAACTTGTTTATACTGGCAGGTGCTCTCGTGGCTCTTGTCTGACCTGGGTCCAGTTTATTTCTAACAGGATAGCCACTCTCTGGTTAAGTTCTGACCAGGGAAGTAGGTAGGCTCAAGTGCATTGGTCAGGTGAGGCACAGAGCAAGCAACTCAATGAAAGACATGACATAACAGAAGCCATATATTACTTGCACATCCCAGAGAGAAGAGGGCAGCATGCCTCGCAGGACCAATGGGAAGGCAGAGAACCATCTAGGACACACATATTCAGCCAGCACGCAGGGAGCAAGAGAGAGAAAGGCCTGTGGACCAAGACCTTCACTGGGGTCCAGAGTGTTATCAAGCAGGTTTCTCGCAGGGAGTTCTAATTTGTAGGTTTAGGGCAAGTAGGTGCAGGTTCCAGGGAGTCACACTGTGACTGAGATGTGGTCACTGCTGCAAATCTGCATAGTCCATGTGGGGTGTGTGGATCAGTGTGACAAGTCAAGTGTGTTGTATCCAGCTGCCCCATTGGGAGGTAGTCTCCAGGAGGTGCTTGTATGAGAGATATCAGGATTGACCACATCAAGGAACTAGAAGACAAAGAACTGGAAACTGTGTCAAGGGTGACTAAGCACTGCTTCTGGTATATTCCAAAGTTGGAAAGTCCAACTTATATTCCAAATGGACGCCAACACAACATAAAATTATAGAAATTCACTACAGATGCTTACTTACTTGTTTATTTTTAACCTGACTCACTTATACATTTAAAATTCTAAATCCCTTCTCCTAATAAAATTTAACTGCACCCCACAAGTTTTTATATACAATCTTGTATATGCAGATTTGATACACAACATTGTATTTTCTTTATCATTCTTTCAAAAGATTTATACGTTTTCCACTGTGATTTCTCCTGTGGTGATGGATTATGAAAAAGTATATTTTGAATTTTTCAAATATGTGTCGTTTCTTTTTGTTACTTTATGTCTAGCCTAATTGCACTGGTGTCAGAGAACATATTTTGAATAAATTCATTCCTTTCTAATTTTTGAGACACATGTTATGGCCCTAAATATGATTAATTTAGATAAATATGCCACGTGTGCTTTTAAAGAATGCAGTCTGAAGTTGTTAGATACAGTGCTCTGTATATGTGTATTAGTGAAACTTGTCTCAGTGATTTTTGCTTATTTACACCAATAGAGGTATTCAGAAATCTTCCACTATATTTGTGGATTTGGCTACCTTCTCTTTATCTTTCTTTTAATTTTTGCTTTATATATTTTTGTGGCTAAGTTATTAAGATCATTCATATAAAGAATCATTATATTTTCCTGGTATATTAAAATTTTCATTAAAATTTATATGTCTCTTTTACCTCTAACAATCCCTTTTGCCTAAAAAATCTTTCTTACATAATACTAATATAGCCAAACTCACTTTATTTTGGCTGGTGTTTGCATGAAAACAACTATTTCCATTGTTTTACTTCATCATTCTGTATTTTTCTATTTTAATTGTCACTCTTATAAGCAACATACAGTTGGGTTTTGTTCTATAGTAACACAATATTTATTTTTAAATTGGATTGCTTAATTCTTTATATTTGCTACGGTCATTGATGTATGTATGTGCATGTGTGTGTATACTCAAGTCTGTCATCTCCTAAATGCTTTATTTTTAACCCATCTTTTGTATTTGGTTCTTATAAGCAACATACAGTTGGGTTTTGTTCTATAGTAACACAATATTTATTTTTAAATTGGGTTGCTTAATTCTTTATATTTGCTACGGTCATTGATGTATGTATGTGTATGTGTGTGTATACTCAAGTCTGTCATCTCCTAAATGCTTTATTTTTAACCCATCTTTTGTATTTGGTCTTTCTCTCCTTTCTTTCTTTTTTAAAATTTATTATTTATTATTCTATTTTGTCCTGCATAGTCTTAGAAGTTATACACTCTTCTACTGTTAGGAATTATCACAGAGATTAAAGCATGCA